TCGTGCCCCAGTCCGGGAGGATCCCACATGCCGCGGAGCGGCTGGGCCCGTGAGCCATGGCCGCTGAGCCTGTGCGTCTGGAGCCTGTGCTCCGCAACGGGAGAGGCCACAACAGTGAGAGGCCCGCGTACCGCAAAAAAAAAAAAAAAAAAAAGAATCTGCCTGCCAATGCAGGGGACGCAGGTTCGAGCCCTGATCTGGGGGGATCCCACATGCCGTGAAGCAACTAAGCCCGTGAGCCACAAGTGCTGAGCCTGCGCATCTGGAGCCTGGGCTCCGCAACGAGAGAGGCCGCAGCAGTGAGAGGCCCGCACACCGCAATGAAGAGCGGCCCCCGCTTGCCACAACTAGAGAAAGCCCTCGCACAGAAACAAAGACCCAACACAGCCAAAAATAAATAAATTAAAAAAATTAATTTATTTTAAAAAAAAGATCTGAGGAATAAATTAATACAGAACTACATCTCTAGACAGAGTAGACTGTGCCCTGGCACCCACCCACAGACTTCTAATCTGAACATCCAAATTTGAATCCCGAAAGGGGACCAGTAGGTCACAAGAATAAGACACATGCCAGGGTTCCCATAGGCACAGGGTGTTTGCAGGTTGGACACAATAAAATATTCTTTACTTCCACAAAGAAACAGTCTCTTCTACATTTTTTCTTGAAACTCAAGGGCATTTTTGGCTAATTTATGTTTTCCCATTTCAGTCCAGACACACGGTTTGGAGGAATAGTTCCCTTTCCTCTTATCATGACTACAGAAAATTCAAAGGTTCAAGCACAAGGGTAAATGGTAACTGATACCAACTTCGGTATGAGGGAGACAATGAGGAGGAGTGGGGACTGTGGCAAACAGGAGACCACAACTAGGAAACAGGGACCTAGGATTACCAGACTGTCCATATTTTAAATAAACAAGAAACTCAGATTTTCTTCATGAAAATTCTCCATTTAAAAACCCCTATGTGAATTGAACCCATCATATCAGAGTGCTGGATTCAGCCTCTGGGCCACCAGTTTGCAACCCCTGATCTAATCCACATGTGGTTAACAGGCGCTTTCCCCCATCATCCTTTGCCCACTCAAGCAAAGTCCCTCGGTGTGAGAAAGTGCTGGCTTCCTTTATTTCCTTCCATGTAGGCCATTAACCCCATCTGTGGGCAAATCTGTCCCGTGTTCCAGCACAGGAACCAAATGGAATTCTCAGAGTCTGGTCAGGAATTCACCCTTGGGTGGGTATCAGGAGTCAGCCATTCGGGAGGGCCCTGAACTCCCCTCCCTCCTAAATCACAGGGCACCCAAGAGGCAAATCTCTCTCTCTCTCTCTCTCTCTCTCTCTCCCTGCCATCTTGAAGCAGCTTCCGGAGATCCTGCCTGAAACTTCCCCTAAAAGAGGAAGTTCAAACCAGAAAAAGAGAGAAAGTAAAACACAAAAAGCTGGTTGGACAGAAAAACCCAAAGGCACTAGAAATAGTAAAATGCTCACCTGCCGACTCATCTCAACATGCCGCCCTTCAGCGGCTCCTCGATCCGGGGAGACCGTACAAAATCCCAACACAGTTTCTGCCCCCTCACTAGCCCCGCCTCCCACAGCTCCCCCTTCTCCCTGCTGCTTGCTCTTCTATCCTGGTGATCACCCTGCTTCATCCCACCCCAGGATCTTTGCCAGTTGTTTCCTCTGCCTGGGATGTTTTCCTCCTACCTCTCAGCCTGGTCAACTTCTATTCATGCTTCAGAGCTCAGCCTAAAATGATGCTGCCTCAGGGAAGCCCTCCCTGAACACTCCCAGACAAAGTGGGGTCCCTCTGCTAATCGCCCTCCTGGACCTCTCTTCCTCTTCCCTGCCCATTCCTAAGGGGTTACCACACGGGTCTCAAGCTTTCTTGGAGAGGCCTTCCCCACCCCATGTCTCCCAGACACAAAGACACCCTCTATCACATCACCCATGCCCATGTTCTCCATGGCATTCATCACAATTTAGAGGTTTTGTATGTTATGTATTTACTGTCTGACAGTCGGGCCATGAGAGTGGGAGCCCTTGTGTGTTTCACTCCCCGCACACAGCAGGGGTTCAAGGTGTTGAACGAGGAAGGCCCACTTCCCTAAGAACCCCAGGACACCCCTAGGACTGGAGCTGGCTGGTCTGAGACTCCTACTGCTCCATTTAAAAGCCCAAAGTGGCCCTAGGACAGGGGCTGGTACAGGAGGCACTGGCTGCCCAGGCCTGTTCCCAAACCAGACTTTCCCTTTCCAGTTCATTTGCCCATCTGCAAACAGCTTCAGCACGAGGAACTGCTAATGCATTAAGCTTTAAGTAGAGGCTGCAAGTGACTCCACCCTGGCAGTTTTTGCTTCTTTGCGTAAATAAACTTCAGCAAGAGCTCTAGGTGGCTTTATTGCCGCGTGGAGCTACAGGGAGTTTGGCTCTTCATTACGGCCATTACAAACGAGCGTGAGCCAGCCTGCGTCTGAGTTAGAGAGAGCCCTTTGTGAGCAAATGAAGTTAATACATGCAGCTTCTCCTGAAGGCTGTCCCTAGTCGAGACAAGATGAGGCTGGGTTGAGCCGCTGGACACAGTGACACCTTGCTGCTGAGAGCAAGGGGGAGAAAGAACACAAAAGATGCTCAGGTTACTTAAACCCTTAAGCAGGTACCCAACCTAAATGCCCATCCCTGGGGGTGTGGTTCAGAAATTACAGGACATTCATAGGATGTTGCTTATTCGGTGAGGGCCTCAGTTTTCAGTTATGAAGCTGACATAACGTCCTAGCCACTGGGTCACTGCCAGGATGCAATGACATAATCCATGGACAGAGTGCAGCACGCTGCTGGCACATAGTATGTGCTCAGAAAATAGGAGGAATTATTCTGAAATGGTGGGACACGAAGAAGCCAAGGAATGATGAAGACCTACACTCTCTGATGCAGAAGCCGCCAGTGTCTTATGACTATTAAGTGCTTAAAACGTGGCTGGTCCACACTGAGATGTGCTGTAAGTTCAATCGTCCAAGCCTGATTTTGAAAACTTACTTCAGGACTTCCCTGGTGGTGCAGTGGTTAAGAATGCGCCTGCCAGTACAGGGGACACGGGTTTGAGCCCTGGTCCAGGAAGATCCCACATGCTGCGGAGCACCTAAGCCCGTGCACCACAACTACTGAGCCTGCACTCTAGAGCCCGCGAGCCACAACTACTGAGCCCATATGCCACAATGACTGAAGCCCCTGTGCCTAGAGCCCGTGCTCCGCAACAAAAGAAGCCACCGCAATGAAGAGTAGCCCCACTCGCCATAACTAGAAAAAGCCTGCACGCAGCAACAAAGACCCAATGCAGCCAAAAATAAATAAATTTATATATATATAAAAGAAGGAATCACTAAATAAAAAAAAGAAAACTTACTTCAAAGAATGTAAAAATCTCCTTAAATTTTTTTACACTGATGACATGTTGAAAGGATATTTTGGAGACACTTATTTTAAATACATTGAAACTTGTAGATCTAAATCTTATAGTGTTTAATGTCAATTAAATCTCAATAAAACTGGAAAAAAATATATTGAAACTAATTTCATCTGTTTCTTTTTCCTTTTTTATATGGCTCCTAGAACATTTAAAATTACATGGATGGGGGACTTCTCTGGTGGTCCAGTGGTTAAGACTCCAAGCTCCCAATGCAGGGGGCATGGGTTCAATCCCTGGTCGGGGAGCTAAGACCCCAGATGCCACGTGGCGTGGCCAAAAAAAGAAAAAGAAAAAGAAAATTACATGGACGGCTCACATCTTTGGCTCAAATTATATTTCAATTGGACAGCTCTTATAGATACATTCTGACATGGAAATATGTCCATACTATTTTTTTAATTGAGATATAACTCATATACCATAAAATTTACTCTTTTAAAGTGTACGATTCTGTGGTTTTCAGTGAATTCACAAAGTTTTGCAACCATCAGCACTAACTCCAGAACTATTTCATCACTCTGAAAAGAAGCCCTATACCTTACTATTAAGTCACTCTCCATTTGTCCATGCTATTTTGAATAAAGAAAAGCAAGTTACAGAACATTATTCTAGTATCACGTGGGTTTTTTTGGTAAAAATTAATTATGTATAATTATTAGTATATATGCATACCTACATTTGTAAATGCATTTTTAATATGTTTGGAATGATGTACACCAAACTGTGCAAGATGGTTATCTCTGGGAACTAGAATTGAGGTGAGAGAGAAAAAGGAGAGGGTGCTTACCCTTTATTTTAAATACTTCTGTACTGCTTCTGAGATTTAAAGAGAGAATGGCTTGACTTTCTGGCCCTACATAACTCCTGGTGAACTTCAGTGAATGACTTTCACGGCACTGTCAACATACCGGCTTCAGCTGGAAGATAAAGAGGCTAGCTTTAGATCTACTTTTTGTTCTGTGCTTTTAAAATAGAAAGAACAGCCAGAGATGAGGTATTTTCCCTCCTAGCAACAGAAGCGTACCGAGGCCGGCAGCATCCTCGCACAGACGCAGCCTGCCCGCCTCCTCCCGGCATGTAGCATCAGCTCAGAGCAGAGCAGGCCGAGCGCCGGGGCAGGGGCAGGACCGGGGGTCAGACTCCCCCGGGGCCCAGGCTGGCAAAGGGCAGCAGCTCCGAGCGCGCCTCAGTCTGGCATCCCGCAGGATGCCGGGGGTGGGGGGGCGGTCTCAGGTAGGGATGGGAAGCGAGTCTGGGCCCCCGAGAACCGGGGCTGGAGGAGAGGGCGGGCGCGACCTGACGCGCATCTCTGCGCGACGCCAGACAGCCACCGCCCCGCAAAGGAGGGACCCCCTCGGACCCCCAGTGCGGGTCCGGAGCCCCAGCGCCAGGTACGAGAGAATGCTGCGGGGAAGCCGAGGCTCCGGGTCCAGCGCGCAAGGGGTCTCCATTCGTCCACTCCTCTCCGGGGGAGCGCGAGCCCTGGATCCCGCAACCCCAAGACCCGCCTCCCCCACTTCCAACCCCGTCCCCTACCTCGGCCCCGGGCTCGGGGGTCAGGAAGAGCGCGAGCTCGCGCGCCCCGCTGCGCACGGGCTCCGGCCGATCGGCGTCCACGAGCAGCATGAGGAGCGCGGCAGAGTCCAGTTGGCGGCGGCTGCCCGGGAACCCGACGCCGCGTCCTGGCCTCGGAGCCCCGCCCCCGACCGGCTGCATGCCCCGTGGCCCGCCTGGCGGAGGCGGGGCAGGTGCGCACCCAGTGGCCGCGGCCCACGCCTCCCGGAACGCCGGGCCGAGCGGGCAGCGCCACCCAGTGGCGCGCGACGCTCACTACGCCCGGCCCCGCACCACCTGGTAAACGATTCTCAAACTCGCTTTCAGATTGCAATCACCTGGGGCTCCTTCAAAACTTCCGAAGTCTGACGGCCACACACAACCTTTAGGGTTGGAACCTGGGCATCAGTACTATTTATGTTCGCCAGGTGATTCTTACATAGAGCCAAGTTTGAGAACCATCGGTATAGACCACCCCTTTTCATTGGAATCCGGTGGAGCAGCGGTTCCAGCTCCCACAGCACTTTAGAATGCCCCGGGGAGTTTCTAAAAGCCCGGAAGCCAGGCCTCACCCCAGGCCGATTCAGCCGGAATCCCTTGGGGTGGGGCTTGGGCATCAGTTGTTTGTAAAGCTCCCCGGGTGGTTCCAGCGTGCATTCAGGATAGAGAACAGATATCTTAAGAGGATCCTTTCATTTAAAGACCACCCCTCCCCGCCATCACCCCGCCCACAGGGCCTCTCCTAGGACAGCATCTTGTTTGCGCCAGTCCGAAAAATTAGGGAAGTCGGGCGTAGCGATCCTCTTCCTCCCAGGGGCAGCTTTTAAAATAAGCTCCCCAGGGAATTCTACAGCGCACTAAATTGGACACAGCCCCGCACCCCTAGGAGGCTAGTCTAGACCCCTTAGAGGCTGAAGAGGGTGGGGTCCAAAGCAATGCTAGTGAGGGGAGTTCTACAAAAGGTAACGAGGTATAGGGAAGTCTAGCGGTCTCATTTTTCCTATGATGTCTTTTAAAATGTTAAATTCGTTTTTAAAAATCGGGCTGCGCTTAGGGCTGCAAATAAATATACAGGACTCCCCTCACCCTCGTCCTGTTAAATCTTAATTTATATTTTATCTGACAACCTTAGGTAGGGGGCGTGAGCACATGCTTGATTTGTCTTTTGGGTAATACATCACTGTACAGTTCCCATTTCCACAGCTTCCCACTGCTAATTTCTCGACATCGCCGCCCAAACATTCAGGCCTTCAGGCCAGAGTAATTTTCTGGAAAATTCTTGGCAAAGACTTGGGCCTCAGGTGCTAAGGAAAAGGATTTAATAGGAACTCACTGAGGCCGCATGTGGCCATTCATTACTATGCTGATGCGTCTGATGCTCAGAGCCCTTCTGTATCCCACACGCACCCAGAAACCCAGCTCCGACCCTCACCCTTACCGGCTGACTGGGGCCCTCCCTCGGAAAAGCCCAGAACCGGCCTCAGATTAGCCACAGTCCTGAGCACAGCAAACTTCCCCTGACGGACGAATTTCAGAAACATAATGCTAAGAAAAAAAGGCAAATCGTGAAGGCTGTGTAGGGCACGCTGCCATTAACATAAAGGTTTTAACACATGTGAAACCGCACTATATATTGTTTATGGATACAGACATATGGAGTAAAAGTGTAAAGCCGTGCATGGGAGTGATGTACACCGCATTCAGGAAACGGGTTACTCTGGGGTGGGGGAGAGGAAACGGGGGAGGGGTTTCAATTATATTTGTAACGTTTTATTTCTTCTGTTGATGTTTGTTATAGTATTTAAACTTTTAAAATGCCCAATATGACTCACTGGGAAAAAAACAAAAACCAACAAAACCCTAGGATATTAGCTAAAAGTGCTGCCCCGACCCCCTTTTCCTGGAGATGGGGGGTCCGGGAAAGAGATCTTCGCTCTTCACCAGCCTCTCCGCGATTCATACCCTGGGCCACGCTGGCTAGCCAAGAGTCATTTTGTTTCTAGTCTTTTTTTCTAAATGTAATGATGCCTTAGAAACATTTTGCTTAGAACACAGATGCCCAGAAGCCCACCCCCCACCTTTCGGAATCGCAGTCTTTGGGGCGAAGGGGAGCTGGGAACAGCTTTTAAAGCTCTGCCGTTGACTGTGATGCACGCAGCACCCCGCAGGCTGAGAAGAGCCCCTCTCCGGTTAGTCCAGCTGGCTGTAGCCAGGGACCCCCGTGGGAGGCCGAATTAATGATTTTAAACAAAGAAGATGAATTTTTAAACAGCCTCCCCGGCCTCTCACAGGCGCTTGGGGTGACCCTGGGGCAGGCGGCAAGCCCGAGGCCTGGAATGCAGCCCGCCTGGGCCGCACCCTGCCCAAACCAGTTTGAACCAGCTGTGGGGATGGAGCCGTGGCGCGTCCCCACGAGCTCCCTCTGGCGCCCAAGACGGGCTCAGAGCGGCTGCTGCGGCCTCCTGCTCGGGAGTCCTCCGCGGGGCCAGGCAGCCGGCTCCCTCCCAGCCGGAGGTCGGGGCGCCCGTGGCCGCCTAGCCCCGAAGACACCCCCGGGAGCTGCAGTGGCCCCCGGCTGGGCCCCGAGGCCACACAGCCTTCCACCCCCGCACCCCCGTCCCATCTGGCTTCACCTCCAGCTACAAAATGGTTGCCTGTCTGTGTCTTTTCAAGGTCACCTCTGTCAGCTCAGGCCTCAGGCACACAGGGTTCTAGGTGCGCATCGTTCCCAAGCTCGGCTGCGCCTTGGAAACTTCCAGAAAATACTGTCGCCGAGACCACTCCCCAGTGATTGGGATTTAATTGGTCGGGGGCGTGGCCTCGGTTGGGGAGGTTGAAAGGATGCCCCAGGTGATTCTGATCTGTGCTGCTCCAAAGCTGCTTAACTCCGCGGGCCGTTTCTAAGGCCCGTTGGTCTCATTGGGAACGTGTCCTGAAAGCTTACTAAGTGCCAGGCTCTGTTCAAAACTCTTCACAGAGACGCCCGCCTTGAATCTCCTCCACACCCTGTGAGGCAGGGAGGCTCTGCTGATGCCCCTTTTAGAGATGAGGAAACTGAGACACGGAGAGGTTAAGTCACTTGCCAGGGATTATAATCAGTCAAGGGAAGAACCCAGGTCCTTACCTGCTCCTCAGGCTACACTGCCTGTTGCAGGGAAGCCTGGCACTGGGAAAGCTGGTGGCTGCCCTGCCCCTCTGCCAGCCCCCCCTTTTCACTGCCCTCCCAGAGCACCTGTAGCCACCTCTCTTCCTGCTCTTAATTCCCCAGTACTCACCAAGTGAAGTTCAAACACCTCCACCCCCCAAGCCTCCCTTGCCAATCTGTCTACTGCTTTTCTCTTTGAACCCTAAAATGCAAATGGGAGCCCACAGAGCAGAGCCAGGGCGCGGAGGAGGTAAGAGAGACACTTGGAGTACAAACTGTTAAGGGGGTCTCCCGGTCAGGATTGGCCCCAGGGAGTGAGAGTCTCCTTTCGTTGTGTGCCCTGGGCATCTCGCCTGCCTCACCTGAGTCCTGGCCCTGCCACACAGCCTGCCGTTATAGACCAAAGGTTTGTGTTCCCCCAAGTTCATACATTGAAATCCTAACCCCAAGGTGATGGTCTCAGAAGGTGGGGCCTTGTGAATGGAATTAGTGCTCTTAACAGAGGTGACCCAAGAAGACCAGGCTGGGGTGTCTAGTCCACAGGAAGATCTGTGCCCCCATCACCTTCACAAAGGTTAACTCGAAGACAAAGGAGCTCTGCAGAAAAAAAATATATATATACATATATATTTATATAAAAGAAAAATATAAATATAAAAATATATACATATAAAAGAAAAATTAAAAAAAATTTAAGAGACCCCAGGAGAACTCCCCTGCCCTTGCCACCGTGTGAGGACACGCGGAGAAGTCAGCCGCCTGCAATCCGGAAGCAGGCCTTCACCAGAACCTGACCCTGCTGGCACCCTGATCCTGGGCTTACAACCTCCCGATCTGTGAGAAATGAATGTCTGCTGTTCATAAGCCACGCAGGCGATGGTGTTTTGTTACTGCGTGGCCCAAACGAAGGCATCTGTAGGTGTGTTAGATTTGCACAACGTCGTGCTTAAATACCTGCATCTTCCAATGGTACCTTTTACAGTTCACACGTTCAGCTGTGGCTTCTCTCGAAAAGAAAGGGAAGCTCAGGAAACCGTGGGCCTGCCCTGCGGCAATTAGGAGCTGCCCCAGTTTGCAGTCTCCCCACCCACTCTCTGACCTCTTGGTCTGTGAAAGTGTCTGGGTGTTGCTTCCGGGGTCCCCTGAATATGCCAAGTCTGCCGGGCTCCACATCGGCGTCCAGCGTTTCCGTCTGCCCCTGGGCCCACTGCCCTTCCTGCCTTCCACCCAGCCTTCAAGGTCGCTCTTCCAGGGCCTTTTTCCTGACCCCCAAAGAGATGAGCCCTTTAAGCTTACCTTCTCCCTTCGGCTAAGTTGAAAGTAAGGCCACCATCAGACAGAAATTTCCTGGAGGACAGAACACACGTCTCGGGCGTTTTGGGGGGCTTGCTGTAGGAGTCCAGTGGCTGCCTTTGCACCTAGAAGTCAGTCCTCAATAAACACATTCATCTAAAGTTTGGAGTCACTTTCCTGCTTAGTGTCTCTGTTTCGCCACCAGCAAAATGATGTAGAACAGCACCCCTCTTGATAGAAGCATGGTGAAAACCCAGGTTTTAAAAGCATTTTCCTATCACAGTTTTGAAATGATCTCTCTATGGTAATAAGAGATAGCACATCCCCTTCGTTCCCTGTAAAAGAAAAGCTTCTGATTCTCCTCAGGCATTTGATCCGTTTTTCTCTGCACCTTTTCTTTCCACAACAGAGCTGCACGAAGGGGCTCGTAGCTTTGGAGGCAAGAGGCCAAGCGTCGAGACTCAAAGTGCTCCCTATGTGTCGACGTTTGGCTTTCCAGCTAGAGCTGCCCCGGTCGTGGAAAGTGAGGGGAGAATCCTGGGTTTAGAGGAAAGAGGCATTTCCTTCCCCCTCCAGCTACTGAAATGTGGGTCCCAAGCTGTTTGTTCTGCCTCCGTTTAAACAGACCCTGGAGGGAAAAGACCCTACCCAGCAAGGTGTGAAGTGGCCGGGCTTCCGTGACCCAGGCAGGAGCTTAGCGTCTTCTGTAAATTCTCCTGCAGGCTCAGGCAGTCCTGGGCGTTACAGGCCCACCACCCCTAATGCAAAACCCTTGGGGCCAGACATGTTTCAGAATCAGAACTCCTGGGTTTAGAATG